GTCTGCCTTGTTCCCAGGGTCCTGGGATCGAGCTCCGCATCAGGCTCCCTGCTCCATGGGAAGCCTGCTTCTCCCTCTCTCACTCTCTGTGCTTATGTTCCCACTCTTGCTGTGTCTCTCTCTGTGTCAAATAAAGAAATAAAATCTTGGGGCACCTGGGTGGCTCAGTCGTTAAGCGTCTACCTTCGGCTCAGGTCATGATCTCAGGGTCCTGGGACTGAGCCCCGCATGGGGCTCTCTGCTCAGCGGGGGGCCTGCTTCTCCCTCTCCCACTCTCCCTGCTTGTGTTCCTTCTCTCTCTCGCTGTGTCTCTCTCTATCAAATAAATAAAATCTTAAAAAAAAAAGAAATAAAATCTTGAAAAATAAATAAATAAAATGCATCTTCAAAATAAGTGATTTTGGGGCCTGAATTAAAGCCCCAATTTCTTGGGTTCAAATCCCATATTTCGGTGTGAACACTTGAGCCTAGGATTCCTATTCTGTCAAATGTGAATTACAGCACATTCACATTCTAGTGCCCCAGAATTGTAGTGATGAGTAAATAAGTTAACATATGTAAGTACTTAAAACAGCACCTAGCACGTGGTCTTTTCAAATATAATACTACACATCATGGCCTGACTGTTTTTCTTATTATATGTATGTGTGAGCAAGATTAATGTTTGTCACAAAACTATTTTGTAAAAAGAACATTTATTTAGTACCTTACGTGTGCTAATGGGAAAATGGTATGATTTAGTAAAAAAAAATAAAGCCTGAATGTCACGAAAGAGATAAATGAAATCACAGACTAAAAAGCTCTGGCTCTTCCTAGAAAATAAGGTACATTAATTTTGGATTCACTAACAACTTAGAAGTGATTTAAAAACTTATAATGAGGCTTAAATTAGGAAAAATTGCCTTTCTAGATTTTAAGCAACTAAAATGTAAAAAATACACCTTAATAATGTCACTATTTCTGTCCTTATTTTCACCAATTTACCAACACTAAAAAAAACCTGTTTTGCTTTCTGGTCTCATTTCCTGCAAATGATGTGATATATACCCTAATTTAGTGGTTAACACTTTGGCACAACTAAAATTAATACTTACAGTAATAACAATGTAAAAATTTCTTGAACAAGTATATACTAAACAATTTGGAGCTTACATTAATAGTGTCCCTTTACATTATGAACTGATTTGTCATTTTAAGGTTATCTTCTGTTAGTGTTAATAAAAGTTACACAAACATAAGAGACCATATAAAATAAAGCCTCAAAAGATTTCTAAGTAAAAGAGTAGGAATCAAAGCAAAGCCATAAAACTGAATCAATGTCTTCTAATCTGAAAACCTCAATGATCTGATGGACTATTCCTTGCCTATTTACTGAAACAAAAATATCATACATATTTGAAATGACTCTAAATACAAATTAAAGTTACTCTCTGAAGTACCTTAAATCTACTAGAGTTATTAGGATTTATGCAATAATGACAGACAAAATTTAATTTGTAAAGTTAGCTATGCATTACCATTGAACATAAAAATTTAAAACATACATAAAAAATTAGTGAAAATGATTGGTAGAAGAGTAACATTTAATAAAAATGGAGAAATAAAGCAGTGATTTTGATGATTTGTAGTTATCTGTTTACTTATATCTCCAGAGTATTCCTTAACCCACAACTTGTCTTTGTAACTCATTGATTTAATTACCCATCCCCCTTAAATAGGTTCCTCTATCCCTAATATACCTAACATGTAATGTACTTAAAATAATTTCTCCTTTTGTCTCATCAAGAGAAACCACCAAGTATCTGAAGATCAATTTATCGTTCATTCAAAGTTAAACAAATTCTAGTTCCTTTATCTTTATTTCTACAGTTGCTAAATTCAAACAATCTTAATCTTGTTCACGGTTTTCTGAATACCTCCCCTGAGCTAAAATACAGTTTAAGAAACAGCATTATGAGACTACTTTACTCCTTCTAATGCAGATCAGTGTCACTTTCATACCTCACCTTTTTAAGAGGTATAATTCTCCTGCATCAATTTGGACTTGTCACTATAAAGTCTAGTATTAAGCATATCATAAAGTTTGTTCTTCCTCATCTCAGACTTGTGTACTTACTTTCATCTCTAGAAACTCAGTCGGCAGATAAAAATCATTCATTATTTACCAATAAACAGAAACTAGTTTTCAAGCAGAATCAAATATTGCCTGTGTTAGTTATCTACCAGAGAACTATCAAACAATCCTTATCCAAAAAAATGCTTACAAACTACTTAATGAAAATAGTTTCCTTTTCATTAGTTTATTCATTTTAAGGCACTTGACCATAACATCAAATATTACTATTAAGCTTTCAAGAATAAACTTATAGTAAACCTTCCATTTTTTTCTCAATACTCATCAGTCTTTTTCAAGATGGTTACACACACATACCAAGATAATGTCCCATCTGCATATGGCCCATTTCAGCTATAAAATAGCGGACTGGATTTGCCCAAATAACCATAAATGACTAATCCAAACATCTTTTAAAAAGACATTAAAAAGAGAAATAACTTTTTTACAAGTTAAAAACAAGTTTTAATGAGTCCCAAAAACATGAGCCCAAGTAACAATTATTAAATCTTTACCAGTTCTGTAATCATGCAAACAATAATCAAATGTGTACTTCTCAAATTATTCTCCCTAAAACTCTGAATCAAACTTTTGCTCTGAACTATTTCCTTTTTTGACAGATTTGACCTAATGGCAAATTAACTGGCTTACATATAAACCAAATTAGTTTTTGCAAATCCACAGTACCATCCTGCTCCTGCATTTTTTCCTTTAACTAAGAGAGGTAATCAATCAAGGACAAAAATTTTCACATTCTGGGGCACCTGGGTGGCACAGTTGGTTAAGCATCTGACTCCTGGTTTCAGCTTAGGTCGTGATCTCAGGGTCTCTCAGGGTCGTGAGATTGAGCCCCGTGTCAGGCTCCCCACTCAGTGGGGAACCTGCTTAAAAAAGGACTCTCCCCCACTGCCCCTCCCCACCACTTCTCAAATAAATAAATCTTAAAAAAAAAAAAAATTTCCACATTCTGCTCTTACCTAAATATGTGGGCTTCAGTTTCTTTTTCTTTAAAATGAAAGCACTGAGAAGACTGAAATTTATGGACTTCCTGTATTCTTTAAAACATATCTTTAAAATGATTTACAGTAACTTTGTGAAAAAGCAAAAATACTTTTATTTGAAAAATGTCAAAGTTTAATGCCCTCAATACACATACTGTTCCTATCATCCCATAGTGTCAACACCAATTATTACTCAGAATACCAAAAACATACATTAAAAAAGAATATCCATCTGAATAATAGCTATATTTAAACTTACAGATTTCTATTTTATGGAAATCCACATCTATCTTTCTATGAGGTGGTGATAGGCTGGGTGAACTAGGAATCTTTAAGTGTTCTTTAACAAAACATAGGAAGCAAGGATTAATTTATTTTTAATAATCCACAGACCAAGGTAAACATGTGTCCTAGGAAGTATCCAATTCCCGCAAAGAAATAAACATCTCACACTTACATTAACAATAATGATTATTAAATCATCTAAAGATATTTTCTGTTGTAATGCAACAAGTGTATGCTTACACCCTTAGGGATTTTTATCATATAAACACAGAATCTATGTAGCCTAACAAAGTAAGAAAAAAGTACCAAGACTTAGATCAAAATACTTAAATTCAAGTCCCAAGACTGCCATCTACTAGCTTACTAGCATTTTATCAGAAGTAAATGGCGGTGACAATAAAGTAACTAAAATTTTATGTTATCTCATAAACAGATAATATTTCAGAATATTTCACTGAATCAAGATAAAACCCCTACAATGAAATTATTATTTTCCATTTCATCGAGGTACAACGATTTAAATTAACTCTCTTCAAAGTCATATTGCAGGTTAAGTGGTGAAACGGTGATCTAACTAGGTCTAAATCTTATGTTCCTTCCACTAAGTCATAGGAGTACGTGGAAAAAACACTCTGTAAATTATATACCACTGTTATGGTGACAATGGGACATGAAAATAATTGTTATTATAGTAAAGAAGCACACTATCTTTCCTAATAAACAGCTCTTTATGTTACATATTCACATATTTAAGTTATTCTGAATACCACTTACTATGGCCGACAAGTATTAAAATCTACACATACTTCCTTCAGTGTTCTAAGTATATCCTTTGGTATTTTATAAGTCTGAATATTAGCAAGTGACTTAAGCCTCAAGTGGACTTATCTACTTTTTGCAGGCCTATGTTATCCCTCAAACAGGAGGGAAGGGCTGCGCTTCTAAGAGAAACGCTGCCGGTTTCTATCAAGCCTCCGGTAAAGCACAAGACCACGTGGTATTTCTCATTAGCCTAAGGTTCCGTACTCCTCTCCCTCCTTTTGACAAGGAACTGGAAACTAGGGTTTCTTTCTCTTAAGTGGCGCCCTGACACATGCCACCTGTGTAGTACGAACCGCAAACATCCTGCAGCCTGCCTCCCGGAAGAATACAAGAATCAAAATAACAAGGAACTTGAATGCCGACAATGCCGGGAAAGGAAATGACTGGAGAAGGAAAGAGGGTAAGATCTTGATAAGCCGCGGGACCTGGACCTGTCAAAAATTGAGAGACTCACGCCGAACGACTATAACCTATCATTCGGGAAGGCCTGAGGTGGGAGCGGCACTACGGAAGGAAGGAGGACGAAAAGAACTGTGTGAGTCGCCGTCGCCGCTCCTCTGAAGTCTCTCAGCACGCCCCGACAAGCCACGAACCCTGGCCCTCATCTCGGGTCCAATCTTTGCCCCAGCATTTCGCAAGCAGCCAAAATCCTGCTGCCCAGTGTGGCCGCCGCCGGACCTGCCCGCACCTGTCACTAGCGAAAGACACCAGCCCGCAGTTCCCGCCCAGTTCTCCATCATCCTCCTGCAACCGCGGCCACCTCAACCCCTTTCTCTCACCAGGTGTCCCCTTTCCGAAGCGAGGTTTTGAGCAGCGTCGCGATGTCAGACCGCTGGATGTCCAGATCCGCCGCTCCGCCTTCCGCCATCTTCTTCCACTAGCGGTAGCGGAGGCGGCAGCGACGGCGGCGGCACGCCCCAGAGCATTGTGGGAATGGCGTCCCGCGGCCCCTCCCAGTCCGCAGGTCGAAACCAAAAGAGACGTGGGGGGGGCCGCCCCGGGACAAGAGTTGGTCCCGGGGGCGGACCTAGTACGCTGCCGTGGTCTGCTGCCCCCAACCGGCCCCCGCGCGTCCAGCATCTCGCCTTGGACTCCTCTGGCTCGGGACAGCGAGGTTTTAACTCTTCCGTGTGGGGGCCCTCGGTCCTCTCTCTCGAGAGCGGTGACACCGCCCCGTCCATCCTCAACTTCTGCCTTCCCCTCCCTCTTTCTCACAGGCGCCTGAAAACCCTTATTTGCGCATTCACTCACGCTTGAGGGTGGGGCGGGGGGCGTGGGGACGTCTAAGATATGGCAGAAAATTGTAACAGCTCTGAGACACTAGTCTTTTCGTTGCTCGTCGCAGAACCTAAACTCGGTGAATTTTGGCCCAAACAAAGAACAATCCGAAACCGAACGCTTGGCCTCAGTGCCCTTCTTGGGCTCCTTTCTGCCCTCCTACTCCTGCTGTAGGTGGAAACCTTTTATAGGTTCTTTGTGACGCCTCCCCAGGCACACCCAGACGCTAAACTGCAGTGAAAAACACGTTCCAGTTCCTCGGTGAACACGGTGTGAAGTGTGTATCAAATAATGCCAGGTATTAAAAGGGAAGGAAACGTGCGAGGAAACCTCTATCCTCGATGTTATTAGAGTAACATTTTCTTAAAACACATCTTACCATGTGTGTATACCTAAAATTACTTAGTAATACCGGCTTTTACTGGAGCCAATTATGTTACAAATGGGGAAATCGAGTTTCAAAAATCAAATGCTAAGGTCACACAGTAGGTGGAGAGGTGAGTTTATAACCCACGTTCCAAACCCCGCGTGCTATCTGTCCACTAGAGCACACTGATTACTTCTCCTTTTGAAAACCTGACCCTAAATATTAACTGGGCTGCACTGGATTCATCTTTGTTTCTTCTTCTTTTTCTTCTTCTTCTTCTTCTTCTTAAATCTCTGTACAGCTGGTGGCTAGCATCATGCTACCTAACATAAGAACCACCTAAAGAAAAAAAAAAGAACCACCTAAATATTTGTTTCAAATGAATTGTGGCAAAACTGCTTAAATATTTCCAAGCATGAGGAGGTCCATAAATTTGACTTTAGGATAATATAAATTATGTGAAAAGTCTAAAACATGGATAAGAATTCCTGCATGATCTCTGGTTTCCCCATGTTTAATGTCTACTCTAACTCATTTGGTGGGAATGCAGTAAAGATGGATGCAATTATGCTAGAAAGAAGTTCTGAGCCCTTCCAAATTAAAGTAGTGTATACTGGCATTAAGATGTGTATCAGCATCATAGTTGCTTATTTTCTTCATAATAAAACTATTTTGCACTATCATGTCATCCTTGATTTGAGAGTCTGAAAGCAGCTTCCAGTTATTGCTATTTCTTGTGTTATTTGGCTTTTCTTATGACAGGTTAAAAAAATTAGTTTCTCTAACCATGAGTGCCATCAAAGGGCACATTCCCCGCCCCCCTCCCCAGCCAACCTCTGAAAGACAACAAAGTAATTTTCCAAGGAGAGGCAGCGTGATAGGGGAAGAGTATTGGAGCCATACGAACAACAGTTAAATCCTCAGCTCAACCTCTAGCTGCAAACTACTTAACTTTTAGTTTAATCATAAAATTAGGGATATTAGTACCTACCTTAAAGGATTTTTATGAAGATTAAATGAAACAATGTGTTTATTGCCTGAGATATAAGAGCCAATCAGTGAACGCTAATGTTGCTTACTGGTGACAGGATGAATTGTATAGTATATAAATTATATCTCAATAAAGCTGTGAAAAAATTGTCATAGACTTTGAAGTCAAAACCATTCTATCATTTTATAGCATAATTGAGAAATGATGCCTCATGCACACTCCTCTATCAGTTTCCTTTCAAAGAAAATGCACATTTGGAATGTTGAAGCCTGTACCCACTCAACAAAGTAAAGTAACCTTTTCATTTGCACCACAGTCAAGGCAATGAGTTAACTGGACCTAATATGTAAGTTCAATGTTAATTTGAATTATACATCAGATTTATGAGGCCATTTTGTAGACCTAATTAGTTGCCGTCAGAGACAGAAAAGAAATAACAGTTATAGTATTGTGTTTAGTAAGCACTTACAGAGTTCCAAGACCAGTTCTAAACACTTTAAAATATTAACTTGCTCCTCACAGCAACCCTATGAGGTAGGTATTATTATTCCTATTCCGCAGAGATGGATTGAGGCAATTGACAGAATGCAAATTTGAAACCAGGAAGTCTAGCTCCAGAATCTAGAAGTTTGGGTAAGTTTAATTTTTCTACCAATCTTTATGATCTTCTCCCCACCCCAGTTTTATTGAGAAACAATTGAAAAAGTTTAAGGAGTACAGCATAATGGTTTATTTAAATATATTGTGAAATTGATCTTGATTATAGCAGTCAACTTTCTAAAGACCTCAGTTTACTAATTTATGGAAATTCTGATTATTTTACTCATGCTTCTTTCAATTATGAAGAGAAATGAGATATTTTTCATAAACATTGAATTGGTCGAGATCCACTTCCCTTCTGAATTGGTAGTAATTGATGAGAAATTAACTTTCTCTTGCATCACATAGATAATTGAATATAAGCCAGGACTTAGATTGCTTATATGGAATCAGTATCTTGATGCTTCCCTTAGTTAACTTCGCAAGAATGTACTATTTGCTTGGTGATCATCATTGTATTCTCACATTCTCTCACACTTTTCTTGTCCACTAAAACTTTAACCTAGGGCCTTGAGAAAGGGAAAAGAATATGCTGAGAACTTAAGAAATTAGGCTGGATATGAACAAAGTGTACCTTACATAAAGGCAGAGTTGGTTTTGAAATTAGAGATACTCTAGAAAGGGTTCCCCTATCTACTCACTGTTAAAGTAATCCCTTTGAGAGAGGTTCTTATACACACCAATTAAAAGGACTTCAAATATAAATACTTTGGGAGAGAGTAAGGTTTAAACTGAGGTGTCAAATGAGAGCCAGTTTTCTGGCTATATCTATATATAGCTGGGATGGACCAGAGGAAAAAAAGAAAAAACACTGTGTTTTTATTTTTAAAAGGCTGAATGGAAGAAAATACAGAGAAGTCCAAGACAAGTTTTGTCTAATTCACAATATTGTTTGATGCTGGCTACATGAACCTAAGGAAAAATCTTCCAGAATGAACACATCCCTGAAAAGAACGATGATTGATACATTGCTGTCTTTATTTTTCAACTCTTAACTATGTTTGGTCTTCAGTAAGCACTATTTCACTTTTTCCTTCTACTTTGTTATTCCTCTACAGTTATTCCCTCTGATAACCCCTTCTCCCCCTGATTTTATTCACCCCTCTAAACCATTCTTTTCTCTTTTGTAATTTTATAATTCCCTTCTCCCATTACTAGCTCTCTAAATAGCCAAAAGGCAGTGGAAAGGTGGGGGAGTAGTACAAACACCAAAACAGTGTGTAGTAAAGTGTTTAATCTGTTAATGATATTTTGAAACTTGAGATATGAATAAAAATTGTTAAGTGACATGATACAGTTTTTAAAACTTAAAAAAAATACAGAGGCTCCTTATTTCAGGCAAATGTTAGGTTCTAACAAAGAGAAAGAAAAGGTAGTGAAATGAATACAATGTCTTGTACAAAGGACCAGTATACTTGGATTTTGAGTTTGGCTCAGTGCTACTAACTAGCTGGGTCACCCTGGTCAAGTCATTTAATCTCCCTGAGCATTAGTTTCCTCATTATAAAATAGGGTGATTAGACTCTTCGAGGGATAAAACTCAAATTCTTGCAAGGGTTAGACTATGTAACTAATGTAAACGGGTGAAGCAAATCTGTGGTAAGATAGAAGTTTTGGGGACTTTAATGAACTGTCTGCTGCAATGAAAGTTATTTAAGATTTTTTTTAAAGATTATTTATTTGAGAGAGAGAAAGCAAGTGGAGGGCAGGGGCAGAGAAAGAGGGAGAAAAAATCTTAAGCAGACTCTGCACTGAGCAGAGGTCGATGCGGGGAGCGATCTCAGGACCCTGAGATCACAACCCTGAAATCATGACCTAAGCTGAAACCAAGATCCGGACACTTAACCGACTGTGCCACTCAGGTGCCCCAAGTTATTTAAATTAAAAAAATTAGAACAAACAAAATTATATCTCCTACCCTAAGGGATCTGGAAAGTTTCATTTTAACACGGGAATGAAGTTGCTACTCGAATTCTTTTTGGAAGTGCACACAAAATGCTCCGAAAGCTGACATCAACCCTGAAGGTTGATGTCAGCCTACGGTATAGGCTGATACTCACTGAATGATATAGTAGATACTCACTGAATGACAAGAGAACTAAACTGAATTGGATCAATAACCAAATCAAATAGTCTTTATAGGTCTAGAATTCTATCATGAACAACAAAAACTCTTAAGAGACATAGTACATCCTGTGGTTCCTAGATATTTTTTAATGAAATGTACTTGTATGGTGGGAAACTTTTCCAAGAAAGAATTGGGTTATCCTAGATCAATATAGTGATATATCAAGTGATATAGATCAAATCAAGGTTGCTAGTAGGGAAAATCTGCCTGTTTTATACTTATTTATATTTACTGACATATTTCAAGTTTGATAATCACTTAATGAAAAAAATAGAAATGTTAAGCAGCCTCCAAGTCCTTTCCCAAACTTCAAAATAATCAATGAACTTTAGAAAGCAAAATCATTTTAGATATGCTAATATTTTAATTAAAAAACAATTTAAAATATTGATCTTAACTTTATATACTTGATCATTTTTACTTTATATCAGTTTTGTGCAAGAGTTTAAAAATGTTTTCTTTTATGCTCATGGATTTTGAAAATCTACACATCCAATGTGGAGTAGAGAGTTGTCTAATGATCCACTGATTCTGCAACTATATAGGTTCCAGAGAGATTAACT